GGCTGATGGTCATCCTGCTGCCCACCAGGACACTCAGATCCATTTCGCCTACGCTGCGCTCCAACAGGTCTGTCCACAACCTCTGCTGATACATGGGGTTGTTCTTTCCCAGATGCAAGACTCTACACTTGCTCTTGTTGTATTTCATTAAATTTCTCCCCGCCCAACTCTCCAGCCTATCCAGGTCCCACAGAATGGCAGCACAGCCCTTTGGTGTGCCAGTCTCTCCTCCCAGCTTTGTATCACCAGCAAACTTGCTGACAGTGCACTCTATTCCCTCATCCGGGTCATTGATGAATATATTGAATAGTACTGGTCCCAGTACTGACCCTTGAGGGACTCCACTAGACACAGGCCTCCAACTAGACTCTGCCCCATTGGCCACAACTCTCTGACTTCTTTCTTTCAACCAGTTCACAATCCACCTCACTACCTGATCATCCAGACACTTCCTCAGTGTAGCTGTGAGGATGCTGCGGGAGACGGTGTCAAATGCTTTGCTGAAATCAAGATAAACCACATCCACTGCTCTACCATCATCTATCCACCTGGTTATGTCCTCATTAAAGGCTATCAGGTTGGTTAAACATGACTTCCTCTTGGTAAAACCGTGTTGAGTGCTCCTAATGACCCTCTTATTCTTGATATGCCTAGGGGTAGCACTGAAGCTGAGTTGTTCCATCACCTTCCCAGGGATGGAGGTGAGGCTGACCGGTCTGTAGTTACCCGGATCCTCCTTCTTGCCCTTTTTGAAGACTGGAGTGACATTTGCTTTCCTCCAGTCCTCAGGCACCTCTCCTGTTCCCCACAACTTATAAAAGATGATGGAGAGTGGCCTAGCAATGGTTTCTGCCAGCTCCCTCAGCACCCATGGGTGCACTCCATCAGGACCCATAGATTTATGGATGTCCAGATTGCTTAATTGATCCCTAACCCAGTCCTTGTCAACCAAGGCAAACTCCTCTTTTATCCTGACTTCCTCTGGGACCTCCAGAACCTGTCTTCTGTTTCTTCTTTGCTAAAGGGAAATAAAACTTGAAATATTTGGGCTGGAATTAATCTCCCCAAGCCTCATACATCTGAAAATTAGACTTCTTGTCTCCCTCCATAGTAAAGGGATGAAGAAATGAAATATCTGACTGTCTTTTTTTAAAATGCATCTACACAACAATTCATCCATTCTCCTTCTCCGTTAACTGTTGAAGGAATTTAGACAGCTGGCTTACTGTTCATCACATGAGCTGAGATTAATGTGATAATTGTGTTATGTTATTCTAAGATGACAATTCATTCAGGAGCATACCTTGACTGTTTGTGATGTTTCATGGGGAGGATAAGTATGCAGAAATATCTTTTCTAGGTTTATCAAAGTAGATCTCTAATTATAGGAACACATGTGAGCTCAATAGTTTGTGGTAGTTTAAAAGTAGCTTTGATAGCAGCAAAATTGTAGTTTATTCCATTCAGATTCAGATAACTCCTTCTACCCAAACAGTACTTGAGCCTTTATGGGCACCCTTTCTTTGGTAAAGGTGTTCTGAATATGTCTATGCCTAACTGAACTCTTCGGTGAGTGCTCGAGAGATGTTCCGTATTCTCACCTTGGAATAATAGGACACTTGCTGGTTAGTAACCAAGAATGGAGTCCAGATGGAAGGAAGCAGACTATAGCTGTATTGCTCTGAAATGTGTTCTCCACATGGATTCCAAAACTGAGGCTCTTTATTTCCCTGTCCTTATCAAATCCTCTATTTCCAACTTGTATATCAACAGAATAATGAAGGACAATGCTGCACATTGTGCTCTTTCCAGTTTAGAGAAGGGGAGGGTGTGAGTCAGTGGGAGCCACTGCTCTGTCAGTTCCAAGTTTTAGCAGAATTACTCAATCTCAGGTACATAAGATTCATAAACAGCAAGGCTGTGGTTTCATAAGCAATTTGAGCCCGTTAAAGCATAGGCTGCTTTTGAAAGAAGTCTGTTCTTCTGCACCTTTCCCTCTGTCAGCACCAGTGTCGGAGGGGCTGCACCAGGAATGAGATCATGTTGATCAATGAAACATGATACAAAAAAAAGAAAAAAAACCCCAAACTGTTGTTTTGCAGTTGGATTAGTTCCTTGATCCTGCTACTTTTGTAGCCTTACAGCCTTAGCAAAAGCCAGAATGAAGGAAAGCCAGTACTTCTGTGTTTGGTGGCAACTCTTGTTTAGGTAAGGCTGTCATTCAACAACTGCTTTAAGTGGAGTTGTAGAATCCAGATGGATGGGTCGTCTGAAGCTGTTAATGAGAATGAATAAACTTTTTACTGCTTTTGTGAAGAATAACTTCACTTTGGTATATGGAATTGACTTTTTTTTTTACTGTCTGGCTGCAAGATTATATATAAAAAGGCCTGTTGGGTATGTAAATACAAATTTTATGAAAGAGGAAAGAAACCTTTGTATGTGTCATGTTTTCAATACAGGTTTACAACTCAGTCCAGCTTCCATTAAAAGCAAGGGCAAAAATGTATTGGTTCAAAGTTGCTTTCTAAAACCTTCTAATATTTTAAATACTGATTCAACAAATCATCCTCATCCATCCTTATGTCTGTGACAGTCACGGTGACGTCACTTTTTTTCTTCTTTGATATTTTATCAATAAACTACAGGTTTTACAGTGTGTAGTAAGTATACTTTTACACTAGCATTTCAACATGATATCTGTGTTTGAAAATGAATATAAAATTACAGCTATTTGGATATTAAAAACTTCATTTTTGCATTTAAGAAGACTATTCTAGGATAGTTACTTTTTACGTGGAGATTAGTATTGGAAAACAGCATGTGTGTTTGTTCTGATCTTTTCGTGTATAGTAAACATGAACTATTTTGAGGTAGCATCTTAGTTTAAAAACTGGACAACTATTTTGGGTTTGTCATCATATCCTTGGGTAGAAGGATATGGATAGATGCATGTATGGGGGTTTAAACCACAGGTAGGCCATGTGGTCCTGCACTCACTCACCCCGCCCAGTGGGATGGGAAGGGAATTATAACAAAGAGGGCACGGGATTAGGACGAAGGACAGGTATGGATCACTCACCAGTTATGTTCACGGGCAAAACAGACTCAATTTAGGGAAGAAAAATCGATTTAATTCATTACTATTCATCCAAGTAGCACAGGGAGACATAACAACCACATCTTACAATACCTTCCCCCACCCCTCCCTTCTGTCCGGGCTCAAATCACTTTGCTCCCGATTTCTCTACCTTACTGGCCACAGTGGCACAGGGAACAGGGAATGAGGGTTGCAGTCACTTCACCATTGCTGCTCTTCCTGGCATGAAAGTCCAGGAACAATGTGTTCTGATGCGAGCTTCCCATGGAGTCACAGACCTCTTTGGGAACAGCTCCTGGCTCCAGCATGGGGACATCCACGGGCTGCAGATGGGCCACCTGTCCAGCACACCTCCTCACCCCCCGGCTCTGGGAGTCCAACCCCACTCTGGCATTGAGCGACTCTGGGGTCTCAATTTCAGTCACACTTGCCCTTGGGCTTGGCTTTTCTACTCCAGCGTGGAGACCTCCATAGCCTACATGTGGGTATCTGCTCTGGCATTGAACCTCCATGGGCTGCAGAGACCTCCTTTGCCTTCTCCTACTCTATGGGGTTGAACTGGGTGTCTGAGGTTCTCTGTCCTCCCCCTCCTCCTCCTTCCTTCTGGCAACAAAGCTCTCTCTCTGTTTAGGCTGATGATCATCTTTTGTTCAGGTCAATGGCCTCTCCTCCAAGGTCTTTCCACCTTCTTCCTTCAAGACAGTCCTTCCACTCACAAGTATGGATTCTCAGAGGCATTTCTCTATTGCTAATTGGCTCAGCCTGGGCTGAGGGATCTCTGCCTTGGAGCCAGGGGAGCTTTTGTGAAGCTTCTCACAAGGTGACCCCTTCCCCCACTACCAAAAACGTACACCCTGTCCCCTACCCAACACAGTGAGATATTTGTTGTGTCGCAACTTGTTTTTCTTTGATAACTTGTTTGTATGACAAAAAGAGATACGGTTTATCAGATGAGTTTAATATTCTAATCTTCTGACTTTTTTCTTTTTAGGTTGCAGCCATCTATAAAGATTCAAGTATTGGAAATCTTATAAATATAGTTATTGTAAAATTAATTGTAATTCACAATGAACAGGTAGGAAAAATAAATATTAAAAAGATTTATTTCTAATAGAAGAAACGAAGTACATGAATTTGCATTGTAGTTACAAAGTTTAAAATATTTTAGATTTAAATACGAAATATTTTCTTTAAGTATAAAATTTTGTTTTAAAATAGGAGACTACATGTCAAATGTGAGGTTAACTGCAGAGCCTTTATTTAATGCCTGTATTTCCCTATTTCTCTATTAACCCTTCCTGTTGACCTAAATGGACATAAATCAGATACTATATGAAAGCTTGTGGCCTAACTACCTAAAGTGTGGTTATTCGCATGGAAACATGACAGGGAAATAACAGCTTTTATAGAGGGTTTTGCTGGAGGGTTTTCAGGCCTAGCAACTGTAATATTCTAAGATGGTAAAAAGTATACACTTTTCAAATACATATTTTTTGTATTTATTTGTCAGAAAAGCCTTACCATTCTGTTTTTATAGTATTTAACATGTGGTTCATGCTCACATACATTGATTAAAATAATGGATTCTCATTACTGAATTGTAGCTAAATTAGGATCTGATCCTACAGACAAATCTGTGTGAGTGAACTCTTACGTAGAGTTCTGCTGACTTCCTTTCCATGCACAGTCATTGTTTTGCAGAACAGGGGCACAAATGACAAAGTAATAAGTGCAAGTGTATGAATGTTAATACCCTTATTGGTTTTGTTTTGTTTGTTTGTTTGTTTTTCCATTTCTTGCTTAGGAAGGACCAGCTATCACTTTTAATGCAGCTACTACTCTTCGTAATTTTTGCTTATGGCAGCAAGCACAAAACACTTTGGATGATGCTCACCCTTCTCATCATGATACTGCTGTTCTTATCACTAGGTATGGTATCTGAAATAGACATAATTACTCAACTAGGTGAGACAAATGCTTCAGTTTCTTTTTTAATAATAATTTTTTAATGATTCCACTGTTTAACTTTTTGTTAAAGATGATAGAAATTACTCAAACCTGAAATTGTCACAAGGAAATAAAGTCTTTAACCATTGTACATATATGTGATAGGGATGGGGTGCTGCACCTAATGGAATCAGCTGAAAGATGCAATGCTCACCTCCTGGTAGGCCAGACATTATTAGGAATACCAAATGCTTACAAATGGAAAACATTTAAATATTAGTATATATCCTTCCTGTACTCCTATCACCTCAGTGAAGGTTCTGATGTTCATTCACTGAAATATATTCTCTCTTTTGCTGTTCCTTTTCATTATTTTTTTCCCCTAGTAATCAAGTTGGACACACTCCAGCACTTCAAACTGTTTGATATTTGCTCTGAATTTATGTTATTGTTTTGGCAGATGGTCCACTACATAAGGTAGTTGCGAGTATACTGTGATCTGCCCATTTTTCAGCAGCATTTCATGCTTGATCTACCTTCTGCATTGTAGAGAAATAACATAGTATTTTAATTTTTATTATTTGCAAGCTAGATAGAAAGCAGTACTGTGAGCTTGGTCTGGTGAATTTAAATTACTTCTTTCACTAGAATGCAAATTGTTTGACTAAACTATAAGATTAAAAATTGAGAATCAGATTTACAATTGCTGTAATTAATATAGCAACAGTGAGATACTTTTAAAATGTTCTTTTTATTTGCTGTAATAATTTTAAATAAATCTTTTCCTTCAAGGGAAGACATCTGCAGAGCTAGAGAGAAGTGTGATACTCTTGGTGAGTTATTTTTTAATCAGTGGGTTTTTTAATAACAGAAAATCTATAAGTTAATTTCACTGTAGGGAGAAAAATCAATTAGGAATAAATCAAAAAACAGATGCAAAACATAAGTCACGTAGACAAAAAGAAATCAACTTCTCAATGCTCTTCTGCCCTGGCACGTACTTTGGTGCCAAGTGGTTGTTCATTGTGTGTAAGTTTGCTGCATAGTTGAGGCATGACTTTCAAGTCGGGTGCCATAGTATTAATTTATAGAGTCACTCCTTCTACATGAAAATTCATTCTTTTAAGCTTTTATATAAGGATTCAATTTTGCAGGTTTAGCAGAGCTAGGTACAATGTGTGACCCACTACGCAGCTGTTCTATAAGCGAAGAAAATGGATTGAGTGCCGCTTTTACTATAGCGCATGAGCTTGGACATGTGTAAGTACCTATTTTCAGGCAGGTAAATTTTTTAAATTTCCTTTCAAATATGACCAATTTCTAGTGACAGACTCTACATTTCTAGGAGATCTACTATATCCTTTTAGAACATTATTTTTGCCCCTTGCAGTAAGCCAGCTCTGCTTGCCACCTAGAGATAGAAAAATGGTGAATTTCATAGCCTGGTTGGTATCCTGAATTATGGGAAATACTAGCTATACAGCTGTATTCTGTCCTTTTGTCATGTGAACTGGTTGGGATGCTGGGGCAGGTATCTTAGATGTGCAACATAGTCCTCCATAGTTAACTCCAACTGCATTCAAGTCCTGATAGGAATTTACACTGAAGGAAAGACAATGTAATGCAGAAATATTTTTCCTTTTGTTTCATCCTTTCAATACAATAGAGTAACACAAAGAGAAATATTTTACACAGAAAAATAAGAGGAGATAACAGCATTTTATTTTATGAAGCATACCTCTTCAGTGGTGGCAGAAAGGTGCTATACTCTGGCTCCATGGGGCATGCCACAGTGTAGGTAATGATGAAGCTACAGAGCTCAGTAGCTGGCTTATTGATTTACATGTGGCTGGAAGTTCATTTAGATACAAGCCATTTGTCATGGTACTTAAATTGAGATATAAAATAAGACATTGTGTTGCATAAATATGATGTTGATGTTTGTTTTTGTTACTGAATAGTAAGAGTTATGATGTGAATATTGGAGTAATATATTATGAACAGTCTAGTGATGGCCTGTTTATTCAGTTGCAGAGATGGCTTGTTTATTTAGAGTGGCATACTCCCAAAACACTGATATTTTTCTGGAGAGCTAAACTATGTAATTGTAAAATTCTTACTGTGCCCAGCATTATATAATTGGGAGCATTTTGGATAAGGAGAGAATTTTGTAAGGCACTTTTAAGATATCTGTTGCCATAACGTCAGATAGTCATATTAAGTGAGTGCTGTTAACTTTTAAGGCATTTTCAAACTCCAGACTCAAGCATTTGCTGCTACAACAAAAATAGCTTCAATTAATTATTGTTGAATTTCTTTTGGAGTTTGTCTCTTTTGTTTTTTAGATTTAATGTACCTCATGATGACAGTTTTAAATGTAAAGAAGCTGGAATTAAACATCAATACCATGTGATGGCTCCAACTTTAAATTATCACACAAGTCCATGGACCTGGTCAAAATGCAGTCAAAAATATATCACTGAATTTCTTGAGTAAGTATCAATGTAATGCTATGTGTTTTTTTTTCTATTTCATGACTTTCTGATAAGTATTTTAAAAGTATTGCTTAAATACTAGCTTTGTGGTGGTGTTAAGTTTAACCACTGACTTGTAGGGCCTCAGTCCTCCAGAAAAATACACATATTTAACTCTTTGGATTATTCATGGCTTTGTTAAAGTTGCAGGTAACACATAAAGCTAAGAAGATTTTTATTTTAAATACGGTGGTGCTAGTTATTGAAAAACTCTTTAGTATGATCAGAATAGACACTTTATTTTAGGAAGTGTCTAAATTATAATTATAAAAAATTAAAATTATATATATATTTTTTTAAATAAGTGGTAGGTATAATTTAGACAATACCATCCTTTTTTTTTTTTTTTCTTGTGAGAACGTGAAAATAAGAAATGACAGCCAGAAAGCAGAAAAACCCTTAAGCTTTGCTTGTTGTATATAATGCAAAATCCAGTAAAGGAAAATCAAGTGACCTGGTTTATTTTATTAATTTTAAGTCATTATATAGGCAGGTAGTCATGCAAAGCCATAACTCCACTGAGATACGCATGTGTAAGTGAGTAAGCTCCCAATGGATTAATTAGGGATGATTTATTCACATTTTCTTCCTGTTCTTACAACAGTACTGGTTATGGTGAGTGTCTCCTAGACAAACCTAGTGGAAGAATATATGATCTTTCCTCTCAGTTGCCTGGGTCAATGTATGATGTCAACAAGCAGTGTGAACTTATGTTTGGTCTTGGGTCACAAGTGTGCCCATATCTGGTGAGTAAACAACAAACAGAGTCATAGTCAATCTATGCTAAAAATTAATGAAAGGTAGATTTAGAAATGAAATCTCAGGACTTCTGATTTCAAAAGAATTTTATCCTGGAATGTGTCAAAATTCAGGTTCTATTCTGTTGAAGGGGGAAGAGTTCAGTGGAGGGCACTGCAGCTCCATATGCTAGGAATATATAGAAAAGTAAGATTATTCATTTTGATTTGGACATTTGTGAGTGTGATTATAATTCCTTTAAAAGACCTAAAGCTGCATAAATTAAGGCTTCCTACAAGTACTGAAAAGGAAGTATTTCAACACTTTTTACAAGTATTTTCACATTATAACCCCTGTCTTGCATTAAAAGATCTCTTATCTGCTTCTTCTAGTGCTTTTTAAAAATTTATAACTTTACTATATTAATTCAAATATTTGTTCCAAATATTTCCTCCAAAGTGTAGATTCCCTCTACTTTGTCAATGAGTTGGAAAATATTTTGTGACTGTTAGAGAGTACATTTTGTATACTTAAGAAGAAAAAAGAAAACTTGATTAGATTAATGTAGTAAACTTAAGTTGTCTTTTGAAAACTTAATGTGACCAGTGCAATATAAAATAAATAGAAATATAACATTATGCCTTCATTCATTACTGTTGAGATGTCACACAGAGCTAGATTTTGGACTAACTTGTTAAATACCTTTGCTAGCATTGCATGGCTTGTTGGAGCTGTTTGAAGTAGAGAATTTAAGATCATATTCAGACTGAATTAAGTGGACTTGTTGGTGAGGTAGTGTTGTTTAGGAAGGTCAGGTTTTATGGGAATATTATAGAAAAGTCAAGGGAGATTCAAAGACCTGAAGATGATGTTACTGAAGACTGCTTTTTGCTAAATTTTGTAATCAACAAAGGTTACAGATACAACAAAGATAATCTTTTTTTTTTTTTTTTTTTTTTTACCCCAAGAAACAATGCAAACGCTTATGGTGCACAAGTACAGAAGGTGTTCACAAGGGTTGTCGTACTCAGCACATGCCTTTGGCTGATGGAACAGTTTGTGGTGTAGGAATGGTAAGCCTTTGCATGTTTCTCAGTACTTGCATATGGCAAAATCATTGATGTAGATAAGAAAGATCAGTGCTTGCTGTGTGGCAATGCTAAACCTGTAGCATACTGATTGTGTGGTGACTTTACCTGCAGTTTCTCTTAGTCCTGTAAAGTTGTGACATAAATAACATAGGTTGTCTGTTCAGAGTAATTATGAAAGTTTACAGATGCTTTGTTGGCTAAAAATAGCTGGAAGACCTCACAGTAAAGGTTCCACCTTCCCTTCTGTTTGAAAACTTCAGATCATTCATAGCAAGTTGGGTTTTTTCCTCATCAGCAGTGCTCCAGAGACTAATATCCTGGAAACAAGACATCCCAGAAGTGTGTTTTCCCCAGTTTGTCTTGTTGAGGCTCTTTCACTGAAGCAAAACAAATTAAGTACAAATGACTTGGATACAGGAATATCCTGATTCCAGTAGATATTTGTGTCCAGTAGTCTTTGGCTTCTCTGTGTCTCAGTTTACCACCAGCAAACAGAATTATTTTCTTACTTGTCAGAGGATTGTGAGAATAAATATTCCAGAGACTTTTTACATACTCGGGTATGACAGTGATTATCTCAAGTATGGCTGGTTTATTATGTTGAGCTGCTTTTAATGGTAGTGTACTTTGTGAGCTTCAGAGGCGGTGGGAGCAATGTTAATTTTTTTCTCTCTTGATAGCTTTACAGGTTCAAAGATGATAAAAATAAATCTGGTCTAATTTCTATGCATAATAGGCTGCTACATTTCATTTGGTTATTACTAAATTTCCCTTAATAACTTTAAATCTTTATAGATTGCTTTTTTTCTTTTTCTGTATTTGTGAGACAGTAGTAATGAGGAATTCAAAAATACTCTCAATGGATAACAACTTAGTGGGTAAACCATCTCAAATGGTTTCTTTCTCACTTGCAAGATTAGGAAAACTTATTTGATGTTTGCAGTGGAAGCTTTGCTTGATTAAATCCTATGCATGCAGCTGTTATGAAGTTTAACCCATTTTTCAGTCAGTCATTGATGAGAAAGAAAGTTCTTCTTTTATATAAAACTTCATGTGTAACCTTTAGTTCAATTGACTTGACTCTAATTCACCAACATCAGAGCATTTCTTTTATATAAGAATACAACCCCCCATTTTATGCAATTACTGCAGTGAAATCTGTTTTATCTAGGAAATGAAGAGCTAATTACAGTCATTATCTGTGAAAGATGTAAGAAAGAACAGCAATTAATTGGACAAATTGTCATCTGTTCCTGTCTAGGGGACAGCTCCTTTCAGACTCAGTGAGTTTCTATTGATAATGCAAATAAGACATGGTGATTAGTTATTGTAATTAATATTTTCCAGCATTCTAAATAAACTTATATTTTACATTTGCAGCATTATTGCTGTGATGAATACAGAAAAGATCCATTTAAGGCATTCGTAATTTTATTATCAACATTTTAAGCTTAGATTTGACATATGAGTTTATTTTCATAGTAATCTTAAGTTTTTCTTCAAGTTGTGTGTCTGATTAGTGGATCTTGCTCTATGGACAGCTCTAGCAGTCCTTTTATCTGTCCTTCCCCAAAATACAAGACGATATAAACCTAATAGTATTGGAGAAATAGCTACACTATTATGAGTAACCAAATTGGTCACAAGCCAACTGATACACAAACTTTCCTTACACATACCCATCTCCAGTTTACACCTGACTCAGAATTATGGCTTCTGTATAATGAAGTGATGCAGTTTTTAACAGTGTAGTTTACATCTGTTGGAGTTGGTGATCTGAGCCAAAACACCTACCTCCAAAGAACAGTTGATGAAACATCTATCTTCTAGGAGTGGCATTCTCAGAACAAGTCTCTTTTTGCTATGGAAATAACAGCAAAAATACCCAATAAAGTATCTTTTTTATATAATTATTTTTGAGACACTCAAAAGGGTTGTACTCTCATCCTTCCTGTATTCCGGAGCAGTATTCAAATGTGCCCATATTCCATTGATTCCTTATATCTCCTTACTTTGGAAGGGAGAGGTAGGAGGTAGCTATGTGATTTGACCCAAGCTTTTCCATGTCTGGGAGCTGTCTCAATGTTTTACCTAATGGCAGTTTGCTACTTAAATACTGAAAAAACAAATGTCAAAAGTCTAGAAAAAGCTGTTTAACAGCAAGAAGGAATCCACAAGATACAAATCACAGTTTGATTGGAAAGCACATGCCTTGTGTGAGATAAATGTTTATTACTTTTATTCACTGTAGACATATATATTGAGCTAGTGTCTCTAAAAATATCTAGAATAGCTATTGAGTGAATTAAGATTTCATCCTAGTCCTTTTATAGCCACGTAAGGAGAGGGATAGAGAGACAATTGAGAATGTGGATACAGATCAAAAAAGCATTGCTTTGATCAGTAAAAGTAGCAGTCTGATCCTGAGGTACGTTGGCTGTTTTCAGTTGGAGGTTGCTACCCCTCTATTGATTACTTTTAAAATCACTGCATTGCTTGACTATCTCATGAATATATTACATGAAGGCAGTAAATCTGAAAGAATAATTCATTATGTGTGTGTAAAGTAAGTATAAAAAATTCAGATGGATTTTAAGAGTTGGATAATAGGGAGATACGTTAAGCAGCAGCAGATCTTTTGAACTGTAAATAGAGTAAACTGTATTTAAAGACTCAAACCAAGAATTTTTGCTATAAACTGTGATTTTTGTAAAATACTTTCTAATGAGATGTGATTTCAGAAAAATTAAGTTTTCTGTTGGAATATATCAAAGGAGAAACAAAGTTCTGTTCTGTGTGCATCTCTCACTCCCCTTGATTCAGCTGAAATAATGCATAGCCTGGCAATTAACACTTTAATAGTATCTTTCCAAATTGATTTCCTGGAAATTTAGCAAGTTCAATAAGCTATGAGATAAGTTGGAAGTACCTGAAATCAGTTTAATAAATACAAATCAGAGTACCTGTAGGTTCATTGATCCCAAATTTCAACCATTAACCCTCCTCCTCATCTCTGAAGATTTAATGATTGCATGCGGATTTGGGTCAGAATTTCTGTCTTTTTAACAGAAAACCAACTGTTGACCCTGGCTAGAGCAGAGTTACCACTTACTGTAATCAGTATGTTTGGAATTACAAGTAATACCCACTTTACATGATGCATACATTATACTTGCCATAACAAATGTAGGAAAAAATGTTAGTGATTATATTTAAATTTATGAAAGTTCTGTGTATCATACTATTCTCAGTGAAGCAATGATTCAAGCAAGCACAGAGGAACATCTGGAACGCGTCTGGTGCCTGGTCTGAGTTTTCTACTGTGACTTCATCATGTTGCTTCTGTAGGAATGCAGCAGAATAATAGCTGAGACAAGTTTGTTGAATAAGCTATTAAAATCCCAGATGTGAACATGTGCTTTGCATTTTTATGGATCAAAATAATGCTGTTTTGGGTATAAAATTCTATTTTACAACTGTCTTTTCCTGAAATCTCCCTTCAAGTTATTGTAAATAGTTTTGTGGATAGAGGAAGAATCTAAACTCTAGGTCGCTGTCCCATATTTGGATGCAGTATTCATTTTGTGAAGCAGGATTTAGAATCTTCAGCTTTTAGTAGTAAAAAATTTCCTTCTAAGATGCTAATTGATAGTTCTTGGAAAGGCAAGGTCTTAATGTTTCCTTATGTTTACCATAGTTTTTATTGATAGGTACTAGATAATAGGTACTAGAAGGTTTGAGTACAAAGTTACCCTAAGGGCATCTTGGAAAAAAAGAATAAAAACTAGCAGTACTCACTGCAATGAGAAAATCGTATGCAGATATGCAGTGAAATAATAGTGTCTTTTTGATATTAAGTTAAAGCATTAGTGTTAGCATCAAGCGAGTGATGATCTGGCCAATTTACTAGATCATTTAAATGATTGTATGACAGGATAGATCTAGCTTTTGTTCTGTGTTTGCTTTGGGCTTGAAATCACCTTGAATGGTCCTTTTCTTAGAGAAAGGCATTCAGGGTTTGAAAGGTATTTGTCCCGTGTACAAGACTCAGTGTGGTGAAGAATTATACGGGTGGGCCATTTTATTGCCAAGTTGGCTTAGGAACTCAGGCAGAACTCTGAAAGGAGAAACTGATTCTGTGACAAATTCCTATTTTGAAAGCAAAAATATTGTTAGCATATGAACATAAGCTTCAATATAAGAAAAGCATATACTAATTAGGAAAAAATTGCTTCTAGAAATTATTTTGTGCAGTGATAAAACCACTGAACATCATTTGAGTTTTGTGTCATTCAGGTATATTCAGAAAGATTGCACATCATTTATGTGTGTTCAGCAAAATTTGTTAATTGATAGTTCCTACAATAAACTTGTAACAACATAATAACTCTTGAGCAATCCTATGCAACATTTAAATTAGTTTTAAAGCGACTGAAATCCTTGAATTACTTTATCTTCTATGTGTCAGAAATTCTTAAATTGTTTTATGTACCAGAGACTTTAGTTATCAAAACCTTTCTAGACTTTAAGGTGATTCAAAGCTATTTTATGTCACAGACAGCAGAGAGGAAAAGCCCAAGTTTCAGAAATAAAAAGCAGTTGAATTGACATAATCTATTCTGATGATTCTAGTGACTGATCCATGTATGTACTGCAGGGAAAGATGGAATAAAACATTCCCTGTCTATACAACTAGGAGAATCCCTTCTGACAAGAAGCCTAATGATCAATCTAATCTGGAGTCTGCAAACAGTCATCTAAAATAAAGAATTCTCTCTGTTTTGTATAAGTGCTGACCCCATGTAGTCCATCCTGCCCAGTGTCTTGTCTCCAGATGTGGGCAGTCTTTGATGCTTCAGAGGGTGTTTGGATTCAAGGACAAAGTTGAGGACATGTTTTCCACATAGAAATCAGCAGGAGACATAGTGCTGACATTATAGTATCTTGTAAACATTCTATTTTATTATGTAAACTATTCCACTATGTTGTGATCAAATATACCGCTTGGGATTTTCTATAGCATACAAGTGAATTAGAATTCCAACTGCCACAAGTCATCAATAGGATTAGTGCTGGTAATTCCTGCAGGTTCTTTGTAAGTCACACATGCACCAATCATAAGATTCTCGTTTAGACTTTTTAGTCATGTACTTCTTGAGTAACCACTGAACTGGATAAATATTTGCAGAGTCAGGGACTTAGACAGTAAATACTTAGAAGCAAGAGACTGATCACTTGATTCTTCTGAAAAAAATGGTTAGTAATTGCAACTTTCTGTAAATAGTAAACAGTTTACAGATACGTTGTGGTGATGTCTCGTAACTGACATGACCACAACAGAATAGTCTTGCAATCTTTGTTGTCTTAATAATGTAAATCTCAGCAGATGACATGAAAATTACACCTATATGTAAGTTTTTAGTTGAAAACAGGTAGAAAAAAAGCAGGAATAACATCTGAAGTAACGCAATAGACATTACAATGTAGTATCTTGCTCTAAGAATTATTTTTTAAAATATAAATTCAGTTTTAATAGTAATAGTAATAGTAAATTTGTTAAATTAGTAATTAATATAAAATAATTTTTAAATATAAATAAATAAAACCAGAAAATATTTACACCTATTGTTTTAGGTGTGAAAGTCTGAGTTTCAGCATGAATCTATAACGTCATCTTGCTTTAGCATAAACAAAGTCTTAAATGCTTGAAAATTTGTGTGCTTTTCCCAAACAATCCTACCTGCTTCATTACTTTCTGGGATGCTAAAAACACCCTGAATTTCTTGGCGGTTTGTTATCGTACCTTTTCACTTTTTTGTCTAAGCATGAATTTCCAAATTATCTGGAAGAATCTCTTACATACAACATAACTGTAAATCTGGTTTTGAAGTTTGTGCATGAAAACATATCAGGAATTGAAGATCAATTTTTTTAGATTCTTATATAGGCATTTGAATGAAGTGTCAAGACTTAAAGATATATTCAGCATCCAGTAGCTTTCATAGAGAGCAAATAACTCTAGATGGCATTTTTAAAAAATATGACTACTGGGTAAGATATCTCAAAGGAATTTGAATATTTTAGAAAATGACCAGACTCAGATTGAGAGCAGTGACCCCTTAAATTTTGTTCTTTCTGTGCCTAAAATGTACAGTAACCTTTTATGTGACTTACAAATTTTATTTTGTTTGTCAACTGTGCAGCACTGCCGCCACGGAATTTGTGTGAGCAGAGAAATGGAGACACGTCCTGTAGATGGAGAATGGGGACCATGGGGACCTTACAGCTCATGTTCAAGAACTTGTGGGGGTGGAATCAAGAGCACCACCAGGCTATGCAATAGACCAGAGTATGTTTTTTATTGTGTTTTACATTAGTGCATAATGGAGATATTATGACATAATGGATTGGCTCAAAACAAAATGAAGGTACTGTGAGTTGCGCAAATTAGTTTCAAGCACCAATAAAAAAAGTGTTTGTTTCAACCATATTTGAAAAGAGAGATCTACAAACTCTTGTATGCAGAGAACTTTTAGATTACTTATCTCAACTATATAATGCACATTTATAGATATTTCTAAAGACTTAGTTTGGCAGCGTCATTTTTTATAGCCTTACTCCAAATGCTGAGGGTTTCTTTAAACATTGAGATGCTTTCTTTGGAGTAAGAGCTGCAAAAAGAAATAGATGTATTCCCCGGTAATCTCTTTAATAAAACACTTGATTTGCTTTGATTTAAGGCTGTTTCACAACATCGCCACCAGTAACGCACACAAGGAACACTGGTTACAGCAGAGTCATTTGAAAATTACATTTATAATGAGAAACTTCTATTGACTGGATAATTCAATGTGGGTTTCATTCTTTATAATAAAATTCAATTATGAATTTACCCTTAACTTCTCCAGAAGCAGAACCATATCTGCAGCCTGGGTAGTTTCATGGTTTTTCTAGGAAGTCATGTCCTTTTGATATTATCAGTAGAATAAATGAACCTCAATCAAATGACCCCAGGTTAATTTATTTTCCCTGAGTAAGAGGTGGTAGACTGGATTCCCATTAGATATGCCTCTGTCAGTCTGTAGTAACTGGTAGTATCAATATGCCATTGATTTTTTCTTTTTTCCTCTCTGAGAAGCTAGTAATACTGAATTGTTGTGTAGCAGGGTTTGTAACAGTTAGGAAATGTATTTTAGACTTCACAGTAAATGAGGTGTTTTCCACAATTCTCCCTTTTTAATTCTTTTTATCCCCAAACTGAAACTGATATTAAGACTACAGAAAAGAGTGCATCAGCTCTTAATTCTGTCTTCTTCTTCTGTAAAATAATTTCAAATTGCTGAGCAAGGTGCTGCTTCTGTAAAAATAGGACTGTAATCCCAGCTAAACTGATAAATGCATTATATTTGTTAATGCTTTTTCCCAGGCAAAATAATTATGAGCGTAAGAGAAATAAAAACATAATAGATGTTAATAAACATCAGTAGCTTGATTACCACCTTCCTCAGCAGTAATATTTTACATGTACTTCTTATTTTCTTCACATGGTTATAAATGTATGCACAGTGCAATAGAAGATAAGAGTGTGTGTGGAAAAGTCAGTAAAACATGTCAGAATGCTGCGTGAGATTTTCCCCTTTAGATCAGTGGTTTAAGCCACTTTCCATGGAAAACAACAATTTTAGAAACTGAGTGTATTTTACGTTTACCTATTTTTGTTAGACCAAGAAATGGAGGAAAGTACTGTGTTGGCCGTAGGATGAAATTTCGATCCTGTAATACCGATTCATGTCCAAAAGGCAAAAAAGATTTCCGGGAGCAACAGTGCTCTGAATTTGATGGCAAACACTTTAATATCAACGGTCTTACATCTACCGTTCGCTGGCTTCCAAAGTACAGTGGTAGTAAGTAATTATAAATATTTTCAGTTAATGACATAAAAATGTTACTTTAATTAAACTTTTAAAACAGACAAGAAACCTGTTGGATTTTCTTTCCAGTTTCTATGAAAGATCGCTGTAAACTTTTTTGCCGAGTTTCTGGAACAACTTCCTACTATCAGCTGAAGGACAGAGTTGCTGATGGTACTCCCTGTGGAGCAGAAACCAATGACCTTTGTGTTCAAGGCTTATGCAGGGTATTTAAATCTAAACTTATTAATTATTAAAATAAATTTTAACAGATGGTGAAGTAGATAGTAAATATTCATCCAAATAACCATTACTGAAAGTATATAAAGCAAGATGTTTTGAATTTACTTAAGTTAATTTTAATCCCTACCAAATTAAAGATCTGGAAATGGAGACAGTTAAGTGAATAAAATACAGCTGAATCTGAAGACCCACAATCTTTTTTCATTAAGCCTCATATGTGAGAGAGTTAATATTTTCCAAGTAAGAAGAGAGAAACTGAACCAAAATTAGTATAAAGGGAGGAAAGAAGCATGCTGTATAGCTATTGCCATCATATTTCTGCTATCAAAGTAAGAAAAGCAGAAAATCCAAGGGTAGATAGATTAGATATTTAATATTTCATTGCAAAATCAGGAGGAAATGACCCTTGAAAGGAATCATTTCAGCATTCTTTGCTTAACAGCAATTATGGAAGTGCCACAAGATTTTGTTGGGAGAAGCAAGCTGATACATTATAACAACTCAAAACTTTTTTATTAAGTCCAAGTTGTTTAACTGTTTGCAGTGAAACTGAGTAAATTCAGGATAAGGAGAAAATGTAGGCTTTTTTATAGTGTTGAGCCAAGAGGAAAGAGGAAATGCCAGAGAACTGTCCTGCTTATCATAACTTAAAAAAAAAAAGGAAGTTCAAGTAAAGATACGTAAACAAAAATTGTGCTTATGCTAGTTTAACCAGCATAGTCTATGTGTATTCCTTTGCTTATTTTGCAGTAATGACAGACTTTAGAAGAACTGATGACCGTGTACACATGTATACTGCTTTTAGGATTCTAGGACTTTTCAATGTAAATATAATTTAAAATGCATACACTATGTTAATATTTTTTACAAAATATCTTTACATACTCTTCTGTATTCTTATACAGTTCTTGACATATTAAGTGTATTTGGATTGTACTTTCTTAGTACAATGGCACTATTGTGTTTTGCCCTTACATCACAGCCCCCGAAAACTTAAAAGGCTTTTCATGAATTGCCAAGGAAGATCAGATATATACAGTGAATAAGAATTTGGGGGGAGTGGGAAACTTACATTGTTTTCATTGTTTTCCATTGGGCTGAGTGACACAAGGTTATTGCATTTTTTTTTTATAGCAAGCAGGCTGTGATCACGTTTTGAATTCCAAGGCGAGAAGAGACAAATGTGGAATCTGTGGTGGTGATAATTCTTCATGTAAGACTCTTGCAGGTACTTTCAACAGTGCTCGTTATGGTATGTTTGTTTTTTAAAAAATATTAATGCACATTTCAGTATGGCTTAGAAATTATGTTTTACATTTGAGGAAGTGGGATTTTAGTGCATGTACTTTAAGGCCCCTGCCAGCAAAAAATATCTCTGATTTTCAGTCACATGTGCCCCCTCAAGGGTGCAAAGGCAAATGCTGTGACACACTGAACTATTCAAGGGGGGAAAAATCAATCTGATGTAAGGTCAAAACAAAAAAACACAAATAAAAGATACAATGAGGGTAAAAGTACTTTGCAAGGAAGAATGCTTCCTGCTTTGCACTTTGCATTCTGTCATCTGAAACTATGCAGCTGAAGGACATATTCCAACATATCCTTTTGGTTGTGTCAAGAGATAGCAAGAAGTCTGTGGTGTGAGCAGCTGATGAGGTTCATTTTGTCCTATAGTGAAAAAGATAGCCTGTGAAAGGTGAGTCTTCTCTTTCCAGAGAACATGGGCAGCAACGTTCTTTCCTCTTCACTGGCATGTAGTGAATGAGAAACTCAAAACCCTGGTAATTCCTGTTTCTTTGATTTATTTCCTTTAATAGAGCTACTGACAGTTCTTCTATATGTAGTCCTTTCTGGGAAGTATGGAGAGACTATTGGATGTGTGTAGCAATGCAGTTAAGTAGTTAGAGCATGGTACATAAGGACAGAAGTCTCCAGGTTAATACAGATACCTAGAGGTTCCTTCATGCCGCTTCACTGGTTGAAAGAGACCACAGGCGAAGTGAAAATGATATCTGGAGACCTGCCAAATAGTATCTTCATAGAACAAAGGAATTGCTGGTCGAAGAGGAAAGTATGCCCAGTATCCTGTTGGATTTTTTTTTTTTTTTTTTCCTGGCAGAGGTCTTGTGCCACACAAAAAGTTCCGAAAAAACCTAAAGGTGGGATACAGCTACTCTTCCCACACAAATACACGTAACTTTTCTTGTATCTGTCCTGAGAAGCTGGAAGAAGACACAATCAGCTATTAGAGAATGGATTTCTGAACACGTGGTCAAAACACTGAAGGAAAAGAATGTATTATTTTAATAATTCAGAGTAAAGAATCATCAGCGTTTTTTGTTTTCCACCATTGTGAGAGATCTTTTTGCTTATAGGTGGCACATAAATTCTGTCACAAATACATTTGAGACAAGTGACCATTACACTGAAACTGCTATTTGTACAAATATGGTTGAGACTGTCACTCTGCTGTTTATCAGCTTTATATTGTCACAGACTTATTTACTTCTAACTGAAGTTGGAGGAAGAAAAAAAACACCAAAACAAACACCACCTTGTTCTGGGATAAGGAAAACCTTGATTTATTATTTTGCTTTTATACTAAGTTGAATGATTTAAATTATGTTCAAATTTTTGGAATTATAGCATATAAAAGATGATACTGAATTACTACTGGGCAGTAAGCTAAACATTTGGGATTATCACTCAAGTGTGCTCAAGTATCCCTAGCCTAGTGACTGAAAACACTGAGGAAATGATATTTTCCAAAATGTTCTGAGTTAGGATCACAAGGTATGTAAGTATGGCAAAGTCTGTGCACTGGGTCTTTCTTTTAACTTCACCTGGTCCCCTTCCATACCGACACGAGTCATTTTGCTAAGGCATTATTTGGCATAAGACAATAGCAGCCTGTGGTATGTGCTTGTATTCATACAGTTGTGGTGTTGCCATGAAGTGTTTAAACAGTAGTGAAACAGTTATCAGAAATACATTGCAATGAAATAATAATTTGCTTAGCTCCCAATTTAGAAAATGGTAATCTAATTACATACACATAATTATTATGTTGGCTATTATTATTGCATCAAATTAGAGTATCCGAGGATTCCTTGGAAAGTTGTCATTCTTAGTTCTTTCATATGTGATCTCTTCTCCTGTGTATCCTTGACAACATGCTATGCAGTTTTGTTTATAGTTTCTTCTGATATTTTGTCTTCTGTCATTTTATTACCACAAGGTCTTCAGTGTGTGAGATGAGGGCCTTTTTTGAGTGTATTTCGGTATTTTTGCCCAATATGTTGGAAGATTAACCAAACACTGTGCGTTTATCCAGAGCATTCAGCGTGTCAATTTGCAATTGCAGTGCTGCCCCCAGCTGGTAAATTTGATAGACCAGTGATTAGATTAAATGTTCATTTAAATGTGTGGCATAGTTTTGATAGATTAAAAACACTAGGAAGTTAATTAATTATGAAATTTTAAAAGATATTGCCATATAAATTTTTACCCACAGAGGTGAGTCAACTAACTAAAGTTAAATCATGGCAAGACTGTTAAACACAGCAAAATAAGTGGAAAAGTTACCAAATATTATATTAATGCTTCAGATTTAATGCTTGTGTTTCTTGTTTGTTTCCAGTGTTTGCCATACTCAGGGTTTTTTAGACACAAGAATCTTTTTGAATTAGTGATTAGCACCTGTGAGAAACAGTTTGGGTTTTTTTCAACTATGCTTACGTGCAGAGCGACAGTTCTAAAAGTAGATCTCGATGCACCTTATTTTGTTACCTTACAACAAAGCTACCATATTAGTAGTTAGTAGTTGGAGGTATTACAGCAAATGATGAATCATTTATGCAGCATTTTTATTTTGAAAAGAGCACATTAGGGTAGCATTTTAAGTAGCAGAATGTGGATCAAGCATGGGTAGTTTATCTGATGCATCTACCTATGTGTATGGCCTGCAACCCTGCAGTATTTGAGTATTTAGGACTTGTTCTTTAGAGTGCAATACTCTTGTGAGATAGAGAACAGCTAACTCAATCATATAAACAGGCAGTGGAGATACTTCATGTTAAGTGACTTATTCAGACTTGTGTAAAAGTTTTGTGGTTAAATTATGAGGAACCACAATGTCTCCCACTTGATACACCTAACTGCTTTCTAGAGTAATGCTGCTCTCTAGAGATTTTTCCAAGTAGGTTGAACTCATATTGTTGGTAAAGAATTAAATTCACATTTCTGAAGCCAGGAATGAATTCTGAAAACAAAAGTTCAATTCAACTTAAAAAACAAACCAAACAAAAAAACACCACAAAGAAATTTAGTATGCATGAAGATACATTTCCTTCTAAAACATGAGAGCATTCTGCAGTGGTTGTCATTGGTGCACTATAGGATTTTTTGAGTAAAACTAGCTAAATGTATGTTTGTATTTACTACTTTTGACTATTTTTTTAATATACTTAATTTGTGAATAATTACATTGCAGGTTACAATGTTGTAGTAAAGATTCCCAAAGGAGCAACAAACATTGATATTCGGCAGCACAGCTACTCAGGGAAACCAGAAGATGACAACTATCTTGGTAAAAGCCTCCTGTGTGTAACACTGATGGATAGTTTTTGTGCTCTTGCCAGAAGTCTGCTCTAGATGTATATTATCAGAAGTCTGATAAAGTCTTTAGAGCAAATATCTAAGTACATTGTATCATCATTTGCCTGAGTCTCTCTGTAGAGATTAGTTTTTAGGAAAATGAGTTAGATATTGTTAGGTTTCTAATTCTTAAACATGTGCGTGTTCATTTGTCAGAGAATAGGAATTATAGCACATTGTGTCATTTCGTCAATTTGCTTTGTTGTGGCAATGTTAATTAAAACTCCACAAGTGAACTCAGGAGTAATGCAGGTATCTATGGTTTTGAATCTTGGAAGCATACACTTAGTTTAGAAATGAAGCAGGCTGAACTTCAGCAAACTTATAAGTTATCTCACATGTCTCTTTTTCTATCATGTATTGGTATAAAGATCGCATATTGATACATTTGCAAGTGTGTGAGAAGAGCAAAGAATTCATAAGCACATTGTACCAAAAATCTTGTTTATTCTATTTCACAGTACTTACTTTATATCTGAAGCACCTGAGAGAATTTTGGTGCATATTTTCATTCTGTCTCTTCTTCCATTACCATCCTACTTAACAAACCCGAGTTTTCAAAATGTTTTCCTTTTTGCCTGTTGCCTTGTTGTTGCACATGCATCTTGCAGGATACAGAAACAACCCTCACCCCCTGACACTAGCCACCTTTTCAAATATAGTAATACCTGAATAGCATGCCTTTACTAAAAATTTTACTTTATTTTTAAATTTAATTTTTAACTTGTTACTCATCATTATTATTATAAATTGATTGCTATATTAAATTATTATTATAAATGCTTAGTAATTTACTTTATTTTTATTTTAAAATTTACTTTTAAAAGCCATATCACTAAAAGTAGCTCTAGTAAATAAAGCAATGTGGGCTGTAGAATAGGCCAGAAATACAGATTATTATTATTTCCTTCTACAGTAGCAGAACCTAAACAAATCTAAAAGTGATGACTGCAGTCAATCCTTCAGCAGAACAAATATTATTGAAGTTGTGTGGCTAATGCAGAGAAAATCCATGACAACTGCTCAGGTGAAAGTTACTGATGGTTAGGACTGAATTAATGCATTAGAAACTGTTTGATACAACTTTAAAGTATTACACATCAAATAAAATAAAGCTAAGTGTTGGTAAGAAGATATATTGTTAAGAATTTTTATTGGTAGAACCTTTTAATTAAATAGATGCTTTATTTCCAATATTTTATTTTACTTGTAGCTTTATCTGATATTCATGGAAATTTTATCTTGAATGGAAATTTTGTTGTAAGCATGTCAAAAAAAGAAATCAATATACAAGGAGCCATTTTTGAGTACAGTGGTTCAAACAACACGATAGAACGAATTAACAGCACTGATAGAATTGAAGAAGAGCTAACCTTACAGGTGCATGTTTACTTTTTTCATAAGTTTGAAAATTTGCTACATGATCATTATGTTCATAATTTTATGTTCAAATTCACTGAAAGACAGTTATCATTTTATCTCAATTAAGGTTTTGTGTGTAGGGAATTTGTACAACCCTGATGTGCGTTATTCATTCAATGTCCCAATAGAAGACAGAAGTGATCTGTTTACATGGGATCCTTATGGACCCTGGCAAGACTGCAGCAGGATGTGCCAAGGTACTGTAAATTCTTTTCTCACCAGAACCAAAGACTTTATGGCATTTAGGAAGGGACTAGTCTTAGAATACTCAGATTTTTCACCCCTACTTGTAAGAAAGGAACACAGCACTCTCAGTAAACTTTAGGTGCACAGAGCCTTTAAGGGAAGAATGGCTTCTGATTTTTGTTTTGCAATTTTCGGTATATATGCAGTGCAATTCTATATTCAAAACTATCTTTGAATGCCTTTCTTTAGTAGCCATAGGAATGGTTTATTAAAAAAAAAAAAAAGTTGAATCAAGTCTAATGCATCCTTAGAAAAGCAGTATTGTATCTCTACTGCTATGTATTAGGCTTCTGTTATCCTATTTCCAGATGGTCACTGGTTTGTCTAGTATCTTTCTTATATATTTTTTTTGTCTTTTTTGGTTATCTGCTACATGGGGTGAAGCTATTTAAAGATATATTTTATACTTTTTTAACGTAGGCCATTCCAGTGTGAAAATAGAACCACAATAGGTATGAAGTGTATATACAAAGTGTGCATACAGATTTTTGATAGATACTCCTATTAGCAGGTGCTAGAAAAGCCTGTAGATATGTGATGGTGAGTTTCTTCTGTTTTTAAGTCAGGCTGTAGACATGCTTATGTGCATCTGTCAGTGGTGGTACTTCCTTCTTCCAGCACTCCAGATCTTTTAGGTACCCTGTGATCAAATTTTCTACTTCCTTAAGTAGAAGAACATAGAAAAGGGTCACAAGAGGAAGAAGAAGAAAAGGATCGTAACCTCTAAGTTAACACGGTGGTTTCACAGTTTTGGCAATTAGCAAAGGACAGGCGTGAGGCATTTGGAATACTTAGCCTGAGGAGTAAATGGACTGTTGCAATTTTGCAGTTTTCTGCAAGCTGATATCCTTGTGAGACCACTGTAGTACAGCTGGGAGATGGCAGGGGTGACTGGGACTAGGTTGTTCTCCACCTGGGATGTAATCAGGTGCACAAAGCAGCATGTTTGTGCAGAATCTGCTGTATAGAATGATTAGTGTTAATGGGCTATCTCAATTAAATTCCTAAATGATGAATGGAATCTATTAGTGTAAAAAGGCACTTTTATTTTAGCCCATGATTCCTTTTCAAGGTATTCGAAGAAGAAGAATGACATGCATACGTAAAATTGATCATGTGGTAGTGTCTGATCAGAGATGTGAACTCTTACCCACTGTACCAAATGTCTTTGAGGAGTGTAATACAGAGTGTGAATTAAGGTAAAAAGAGATTCCTAACTCATGAAGCTGTTGTGGTCTTACATATTTTTGTTGACAGAGATTGAAACAAACTAATTCAGATTGCTTTGTCCTCTGTCCCTCCACCCTCTCTACCTCCCTCATCCTTCCTGTCTCTCCTTGCTTTCCTCAAATCTGTATAATGGGTTTATACATTATATTTACAGCTCTGAATCCAACTAGAATTACTGTACTTTTCTAATTCTTATTGGTAAAGTACAAAGTCTTTTGCTAGGATTGTGAATCTGTTCTCTATGTCCTGGTGCAAAAACTTGTATTGCTGGGCAGAATACATTTTTCACCAGGACTGTACGCACAACTGGAACTAATTTGAAACAGACTTGTGGTTTTGCACTCCAAGAAAGCCCATGCTGAAGGGTTCAGAGGATGAACAATTAGAATTCTATCTTACATTTTTCAAAGTCATCTAGGAGATGAAAACAAAAGATCCTTTAAATTTAAAAAGATGTTTTTAAGCCTATGAGTCGAATTCTTCTATATTGCTTTGAAAATTTCAGTCATGAGAGTTTATAGTTTTGTCTGTTCCCTAAAATGCATGTCTGTATTTACATGACAATTCCTAGTATGTTCTCTGATTGCTTTATTCACTGTGGTCTTACTTTTTTAAAACATAGTTAGCTTTCTATAACAGTTTATCCTTGTAGGTGGCACAATGTTGGCAAAAGTGACTGCACATCGAAGTGTGGCCCAGGGTATCGGTCTATAGAGATCCACTGCATGAAATACTCTATTTCAAAAGGACTTAGTGCCCCAGTGGATGATAAGTACTGTGCTGATCAGCAGAAACCACCAACCAGAGAGCCCTGCCATGGTGACTGTATGTTAACAAGTTGGCACTACACAGAATGGTCAGAGGTACAAATTCAAAACCTTATAATTGTACCATCATAGTTCTAGCTAGTTTTCATATAAAATTTTTATTTCTATGTACATTTTTTTTGTTTATGTAACTAAAAGAAAATAATGTTTGAGAAATGCAGAGTTGTAGGAGGAACTAATACCAGTCTTTATATTTCAGAAATTTCCTTGTATTTTTGTAAGCAACTCTAGCTAAATTGTTTGCAGCTTGGTTTTGGAAGTCAGCAAAGAAGACCTAGTGGTGGTTAAAGGTGTATATTTTATTTACAGTCTTAACAATTTAATTCTGAGAGTGTTTTGGAGAAAAGGAGTAAGGACGATTTCAACTTTACTCTTTATTAAAGACTTTTATCTTGGAACTACTAAACAAAGTGCCAAATTTATCTCGCATATATCAGTATATTATCAGTAGTCTGTGGATTAAAAGTCAGATACGTTTGTCTAACACAATCATTAATGTGTTTCACCTTTGAGACTGATAATGTATTTTGACCTTTTTTTTTTTTGTTGTGTTTCTGGTTTCATAATATTGCCTGTACACTGCAGTGTTCCAGGAGCTGTGAAAGAGGTGTCAGAACCAGAGAAGCTTTTTGTATGAACAATTTGGGTCGTCATCTTCCTGACAGAGAATGCCAGGAACTTCCAAGACTTGTAACACAGATATGCAATGAATTCTTATGTCCAAGCTGGTCTGTTAGTGAGTGGAGTGAGGTAATGAACTATGTAAAACTTAAGATGCCTTTGGTCCTGGTCACGGATATTAAAATAAGCTGCTTTAAGTGTTTGGTGTTTTGGGGTTGATGTTTTCATGAAATTGAGAGTTCATAAAAAAACCTAGTTGTTCTTTCCCAGATGCAAGACTCTACACTTGCTCTTGTTGTATTTCATTAAATTTCTCCCCACCCAACTCTCCAGCCTGTCCAGGTCTCACTGGATGGCAGCACAGCCTTCTGATGTGTCAGCCACTCCTCCCAGCTTTGTATCATCAGCAAACTTGCTGACAGCGCACTCTGCTCCCTCATCCAGGTCACTGATGAATATATTGAACAGTACTGGTCCTAGTACAGACCCCCAAGGGACTCCACTAGACACAGGCCTCCAACTAGACTCTGTCCCATTGACCACAACTCTCTGACTTCTTTCTTTCAACCAGTTCACAATACAGAATTGGATTGTTATTTATGTGATCTTTAAAATCCAACAAATTCCTAAAAGAAAGTGAAGCCATTAATGTAGATTAATGTCTTTACAAACTGATGACTAATAATTTTACAGTGTCCTGTGACATGCGGCAAAGGAATGAAGCATCGTCAAGTATGGTGCCAACTTAATGATGAACAACTGAGAGATGATTTCTGTAATCCAAATGATAGACCAGAATCAATAACGCCGTGTGAACTTCATGAATGTGCATCTTGGCAAGTAGGGCCTTGGGGATCAGTGAGTACATATGGATTCCTGGCTTCTTACTTTCAAGTTCAGACTATGAGTGATCACAAAACAATATCTTTTAAACATTTTATTTGGATCTTAAGCAGTTATTTTAGTTGAATCATTTCACTTGTTTGTTTGCTCCTATTGACTATTGAACTTGTAATTTAGGAACACCCACATAAAAATTAAATGCTTAAAATAGTCTTTGACTCTGAGCCTTAGTATTGAAGATGCTTTTACACATTAATGTATTACATCTCCAGAATAATGAAAATGTAGATAGCAAAGCATCCAGATGAACGAGACAGGTAAAAGGCCAAATACTTACAGGTCTGTGGACATACTTACATGGTAGCTTTAATTAAGATCACAGAAGTGTATATGTAGGCAAAAAGTGTTTTATTGTTATGTTCTGTTTCGACCTTCAGTTCCTGTGTGTAATGATGTTCATTTAATGTATACCAGAGTGGCTTCAAAATTCTGGAGAAAAGTGAATTAATTTGCAAAGGAATTTTTTCTCACCAAATAGATGAGAATTAATTAAGGAATAATAAGGTACTCAATGTCATGGAGCTTTCATAAGATCAGATTACGCAAACCTATAGAAGTGTTGGATTATTCATTGTTTCTTGGATGTTAATGAGAATTCATAACTGAAGAGCAGCTGATATTCTTTTTTTTTTTTTTACATATAACCTGTTAGTAAAATACAGAATAAATATAACTTTGGAAATTAAGTATATTTTTAACTTAGAAGTTTCTTTTGCATAGAGCTTTTCTCAAGCAATATTTTTTTTCATGTTAGAGAAAACCACACTGTTGTCTATCATAATATTGAATTCCTTTTGAATAATCTTCTAATCACAAGATGCTGGCTTTCCATTCCTACATCCTAAATGCAAAAAATAAATAAAAAATTATTTCAATCCCATGATATAATTATTCTGAATAAAAAAATCACTGTATATGGCCTTGCTAGAGTAACTTGTACAGCAATTTACCAATTCATGTCACTGGAGCAGAGCTTTCCATTGGAGTTTTTCCCCCATACCATCTGGCAATAGCTATTAATGAACTAGGTTTTTACAAGTATTTGTGCTTGAATCACAGCATTTATAGGAGGAGATTTCTGTCATAGGATTTTCTGTCGTAGAATTTTCACCCATCTAACATTTTAGGTGCTGCCTTTGAATATGCTCTTGTCAAACTCTGTAGTGAGGGGAAAGACATTTAACAGCTGCAGCTAGTGATTCATTTGGAACCTACCTCTTACTCTCTGCCCCACACTTCCTCTACCCCATTTTTTATTGCTGAACGTAACATTATATAGCATGGATTATCACTTTGATCAGTTCATGTCAGCTGTCCTGGCTGTTTCTCTCAAACTCCTCCCCACTTCCAGCCTGCTCACTGCAGGGGGCAGAAGGGGGAAAAAGAGAAAACCTTTATCCGGCACAAGCACTGTTCAACAATAGCCAAAATATTAGTGTGTTATGGACACTGTTTAAGCACTGTATGGTCTGCCATGAAGAAAGTTAACACCATCCTAGTAATCATTTGTATTCTTTAACAGTGTACTGTAACTTGTGGACGTGGATACCAGATGCGTGCAGTCAAATGTGTTACTGGGACTTACAGAGTTATTTTGGATGATGACAGGGAATGTAATGCTGCTACCCGTCCTAGAGATAACCAAGTAAGTTAAAAAATACCTTTTAGTTGACTGTACTTTTTATTTAAAAGCATCTAAATACAAGAGTTGTCTACTGACTCTTTGAGGAAACTTGCAGGAAATGAGTTTTAAAATGAGGAAAAACATGCTGAAACTATCTGCTTTTTTCCTGAACTTCGCATTTGACCTGGAGAATTAAGTAAAAAAAGAGTAATTTTGAGATTGGAAAATTTAGTATATGATTGAAGGGATACAAAGGCCTTTGATTATTTGAGTGGTGGGAGGAAGCTCCAACATGTAGAATATAATGAGACTGCTTGCCATGATGCTTAATAATAGCACCTGACTGACTTGATATTCTCTAAAATTCTGCTTATGTATAGTTCTTAAAAGCAATTCAAACTGTGTAGACATGAATTATAATTCAGTATGGTATTACTATCATACAGAATCACAGAATTGCCTAGATTGGAAAAGACCTTTAGGATCATAAAATCCAGTGATTAACCTAACACTAACAAGTCCCCTGGCTAAACCACGTCCCTAAGCACTATGCCTGGACAATTCTTAAATACCTTCAGGGATGGGGACTCCATCACTGTCCTGGGCAACCCATTCCAATGCCTGATAACACTTTCAGTAAAGAAATTCTTCCTAATATCCAATTTAAACTTCCCTTTGGGCATGGCCATACAACCAGTTTTTTACCCAGCAAAGTATATGCCCATCCAAGCTGTGAGCAGCCAGTTTCTCCAGGACAATGCTGTGGGAAACAGTCTCAAAGACTTTACTAAAGGCCAGATAGACAACGTCCACAGCCAAAACATGGTTCTTTACCTTTTCTTGTCTCAATTTACTTACTTCATCACTTCTGTTATTTTAAATTATAATTTTTCAGGAGAAATGGTTTTAATACACTCAGTGGGTTTATATTTAAGTAAAAGCAATTGATGTCTTAGGTGTTATGTATTAATATGTTGATCTGGCCACTGGATTAATACGTCCCATTTATATCCAGCTAAGCTAGTAATCACATGTTTCTTTGAGGGCATACTCTGTCTCAAGGAGAAGAGGAAAAAAAAAAGGATTCTATGGTCCAGAGTAAACCAGTCACAAGCTACCAGCCCTCTGATGCCTTATTGAATAAAATTTCAAAATATGAAACCCAAGTAATTTGTAAAAATTTGTTTTCACTTACATGGGAAAACACTGGGTTTGAGTATGCTTTGTGTTTTTAATTGTGGTACCTGTTCAGCTTTTGACTGAAACAGGACAATTTAATGTTCTCAGTAGCTGAAGATATAAAGGACAGGACAGCACAGCCACTGTCTTCACTCAGGTCTTCTGTACTGCATGTGGCTATGAAACAGGACACAGTAATGTCTATGCCGCTTGTCTCCAGCAAGTTGCCCAACACAGTTCTTTAAAAAAGTGCAAATATTAGTTATTACTAATACATTTTTAACATCAAATAAATTTTCTTTGCCTCTTGATTTTAAACAAAACAATCCAATAAAAAGCCTTTCAATAATTCCAGGGAAAAGTTAGAAGATTATATTTATTTGTTAAATAATACTGGCTTATGGTAGTGGCAGCATTTATCTCTGTTGGAGCACTTGGCTTTACATGCAGCTCTTCCAAAATGTGTATTTTGAAAGCTTTTTTTTTCTCACCTCCACAGGAATGTGAATTGCCCTCTTGTCCAGAAAATACAAAATTATGGACTACATCGCTTCCTTTAGTTCATATGGGGAAGGTGACTCAATGGAGATACGGATCATGGACCCCAGTATGTAAAGTAATAGTGGTCACATCTGGCAGAGCAGTCCTCCATTCCTTCACCCATTTTTCCATAAAGCTCTCATTAATATATTTTTCAGGCTGAAATCTGCCTGGGATAAATTTTAAAGGAATTTGAAATTTTTTTTTAAGAACCTGTTTCTTAAGGAAGAGATAGACACTCCAGGAAATTCTGTGTGCTTCAAATCTAGCCAGGGAAAATAAGGAGGGGAAAAAAACAGGATTCTAGGAACTGGGGATCTGAGCAAAATAATTTTCATATGATTGAGAGTGTACAAGGAAGTGTTTTTTTTTAAAAAATAATTGATCAGCTTCTCATTATGGAGGATGTCTTTCATTCTAAAATATTATTTAAATCTTTTATGTGAATAGCAATATTAAAGAGTTGGGTTTTTAAGGTCTGATTTTACACAATTTGTAAAATAAGCATTAGAAAAATGGTTTCCACACAAACTTTGTTTAATTAAAGAATTTTTGATTTTGATAGTATTGAAAATTAGTTTTACTTGGCAGTGATGTGAAAATTTAAGATTATCTATAAAAATGTGTGTGTGTCTGTTAATGCCTTGAGGTTCTTAACAAAATATTTAACACAATTATATCTTTGCATAAGTATTTTAACTAAATGGCAGTAAAGAAGGCATAGACTGAGGCTACTCTGAAATTCTTAACTAAATCTACCTTGAATTTCTCAGCTATAAAGGCATCAGAAGGCGCTTAATGGAACATGCTAATATAAACTAGAATGGCATATGAATTGCGAATATCAGTTTTTATTGTATCGGTTGATGTAAATATTACATCACTGTGTAATAGCTAAAATGTTTTGAAAGTTACTTTCTAATGTTTCTATTGTTAATAAATAAAAATATTGCCTTTGCAACTATGTCATGGTTCCATGTTACAGTTGAAATGCTACCTGTTCAGATATGCTGAATTGCTTCACAAGAATTAAGGCCATGCAATTCAGTTCCAAGCCAACAGGAATTCTTAAGGCCTAAACTATCCAGCAATATTTCACTTTCTTTCCTGAATGCATGGCTCTGTCAGTGTGAGATTGAAATCTGGTTCACAGTGTTTAATTCTAAAGTCAAACTGATACTAAGCTCTGTTAGTATTTTAGATGCTTGCATGATCTTGTTTTAGTCTCCTAAAGTGCGATGAGGATGAGCTTGGATTGTTCTCTGACAGTGCTCTGCATCCTGTGGGAAGGGTGATCGCGCTCGCTATGTGAGTTGTAGAGATGCTCATGGAGGAATAGCAGATGAATCTTTCTGTGCTCATTTACCTCGACCAGCTGAAATTTCAAGCTGCTTTAGCCCATGTGGAGAGTGGCAAGCTGGAAAGTGGTCTCCTGTGAGTATTAATTGTGACTTATTTTTTTAAAATGTGTCTATTTAGATTATTGGCTGAAGTTTCTGATTAGAAGTTTGAACTTCATATTCTGTGCAAGTGTGATTGAAATTGCATCCCTTGAAAAAAGCAAAGGATATGTTTCATATTGTCAAAAGTAAATATAAATGTCTTTGGTTATTAATTATCAATGTTCTGTCACAAATATTGGGTTAATTTTTGGTCAGTGCACAGTTACGTGTGATAGTGGAATAGTAACAAGACAAGTTATCTGTGTCAACTACCATCAACAAATCAACGAGAATTACTGTGATCCTGAAGGCCGACCTTCCAAAGAACAAGAATGTAACATGCCACCATGTCCACCAGTTTATCATCATATTCCGAAAGTAGATGACCATCCAAGCCATTTTCCAGAAATAGGTTACCTTCCAATACACCATCCGCAAGACAATATAAACCAGTGGAACCGTCCCTCTGTGGGAGGATATCAATGGAGAACTGGACCCTGGGGAGCAGTAAGATTCTTTTTTTTTTAATATATGAATTTGTTCTCTCACATGTGTTAACATTTCTAGAAATCTTATTGCAGTACAGATTTGGACAAAAGAGAAGCAGATTTATTTTTTTAAATATTATTATTATTGTTATTAAGAATATACTAAATTAAAAATGCAGTTTTTCTGTAATTTTGACTTTAACATACTTCTACACAGCACTAATTTTTATTTGCAAATTTCAGTTTTAAAAGTTAACAATAAAAATAATAATTTAAAGTTGTTTTAACCAAAGTATTTTACATTTTTTCTGATTAAGCAATGATGATACATATTTTTATATGTTTTGGTAGTGCTCTAGTACTTGTGCAGGTGGATTTCACCGTCGAGTTGTAGTATGTCAAGATGAGGAAGGAAGAAGTGCTGGTTATTGTGATGAGGCAACAAAACCTCCAGAGTCAAGACACTGTGATTCTGGACCCTGCCCACGATGGAACTATGGCAACTGGGGAGAAGTAAGATCATTTCTCTTTCAAAGGGAAACGTTATTTGCCAAGTAAGCTTAGAAATAGTAACATAGTTATTTGACTATGAATGGAAATGAGCACCATTTTTTTACTTATTTTAAAAGAATGAGTTTCAACCTGTTCATCTAAACTTTGTTCTTTAATCAAGTCTAGAACTGTAGTGTAAATATACATCCAGAAGAAGTAAGTGTTGTGTGAGGCTAAGGGTGTACAACATATAATTGAGTGTTGCAGTAGCATCTTGAATCTTGAGACATACAAAATTAGTTTCTATTACAAAAAGATTAATTATATGCAGCAAAACCTCAGTGTAATAGCTAGTCTAAGAAAAAAAGGAGCACAAGAAACTAGGCAGAAACCTTATTGCATCAAATTTCATAGGTACTGACTAGAATAACTGCAAGTACTAGTATCTACTGGGTTATAGTTACTAATTAGAAGAACAAAGATAGTATAATGCATCTAAAAGACATGCCTGGGTTAGAATGTTTTGATGAAACATTATTGGACAAAGAATGATTTCTCTATGCTGTGTAATGTCATACCTTGACCACGCCATTCTTGCTCAAACACTGGAGAAAGAGTTAAAGCCGATTAGTTCGGAATTAATTTAAATCCAACTTCTTGTGATTCCTGCCCTCTTTTCTTATTCTTGATACATCAGTATCTAGAGTTGAGAAAAGAAGAAAAGTTGAGTGATTTTTAAATTTTTCTTTCCCCACTCCCTCCTTTTGGCTAGATGTAGCCATTTAGCTCTCAAGGACAATTTGAGCGTCAAGTTTTTTCTGTCCATAGCTGCAGACTTAATGCAAATGCTGCAGTTTTTTTATAATTTAGAATCCTCTGGAAATATGGTAAATAGCTATAAACTATTGGAACTTCCTCTGTTTTGATCAGTTTGTTTTTAATAGCTCATTAGAAATGAGAAATAGTCTTCTTGTCTGGTATTGAAGAATTTCAGGAAAACTGAAACCCAAAAAACATATCCTGTGCATATTTTACACTTAGTGTGTATAACTTAGACTGTGAGAAAATGTGCCCAGTGTCTGAGTTTTCTCTCTTCTGGCAGGGAAAACTTGTTTTAAGACCAGTTTCTATCTTTTCCTCCTATCAAACAGAGATATCTATGCACATTTATTCTCACAAATGGTTACTTCTCCTTGGTAGAGTAGCTTCTCTGAAACTGAGACTTTTTGTAGAAATCACTTGGTAAACAACGTAGTTTGGTAAACATTTTGGTGAGAGAATTATTTTTTCATTATATGACATTAGATTGTACATCCTTAATCTTGAATTGAGTGTCCAGGGAATATTAAAATAGAATAATAAATAATAATATGTGCTGATTATTGCTGTATCCTTTCAGTTTAACAGTATGTGTTGACTCTCTTAACAAAAATATTGCATATAAAATTCTATATTTCAGTGTACTCAAACTTGTGGAGATGGAATAAAGACAAGGCTGGTGATTTGTCAGCTTCCTACTGGCCAAATGTTGGGTGATCAAAACTGTGAAATTCTAGACAAGCCTCCTAATATGGCACAATGTAATGTGCATTCTTGCCCTGGTGATGTTTCATGGCATCGGGGACCGTGGAAATCGGTACGCTAGCATTCAGTAATATTTTTTGCTTTCTTGTTCTTTCTGTCACTTTCTTTCCCCTTGCCTTTTAAAAATTATATTGTTATTTTATTTGATAACAGTGAAACAATAATGCATGTGAAATATAGTCCATGTAGTTTTATTAAGCAATTGTTCCTGCAGTCATTTAATTAAATAGGAAACAGCCATTTACTTCAGTGGGAGCAGTGTCATGCCCTGTAAAACATCATAGGAAATATTTTGAAAATTACCAGAAATCATCATAGCTGATAGCAATACCTAATAGGTTGTTCTATTTTGAAGGTTTATGAAGGGTTTGATCTATGTTTAAATTTAAAAGTATATGCTGTAATTTATACTGTAGCATTATCTACATATTTATATTTGTAAAAACAAAAAAAAAGCTTTTTCATGCATAAACTTTTTCTAATAGTATATTTAAGTATAAAATAACTCACACACATATATATTGCAATCTGTCATCAAACATTTTACTCCGTATTATGTGTACATTTGTGTATAAAAGTTTATATTTGTGGTTTTAAAACAGTGACTAATTGAAGCTGTCTATGTATAATTATGTATGTAACTATACTATGTTATTGTCTACATGTCACTGTCTATTAATGTGTAAAAATGCCTACAGTAATCACCATTAATCTTTAAAATTGCCACTAGTAGATTATTAATATAGTGAAGTAATCATAGCGAACTCTACAATATAGAGTACGTTAGATTTCCCAAGCTGTGAATTTGACAATATTTATTATTGTCCTCAATTCTAAGGAGAATAATGGCAATCAAAGGAGGCTGGATCCAGTTCTGATTCTATCAAAATCGGTTAAAAACCTGTCATTGACATCCCTGGGAAATGGGCTAGGATAACAGTTCTATTTTTTAAAATTTTTTAATTAATAAAATTATGTAATTTGATTATTTGAATTAACATGAAAACATTTTTAAAAATATTGTCCAATTTAACTTTAAATAATTTATTAATGTTTATATAATCTATTCTAATTTATTGCAAATGAACTTTAAAATGAAAGTTTGAATTAATAATTTACCACAATTATCTCTTTCTTCCACTGTGCAAAACAGAGTTTTGGGTTCGTGTTTAACAGATTTAGGAGTATTTTATTTAGCCGTTAGCCAAATTAGTGGTGACTTGATAATGCCTAGTTAATGTATGTACTTCAGGTGCAGAGAAGGCAAGCAGGGCATTCAGCACACAGTTGCCTTCGAATTCAATGTTTGTTTTGCTTTTCCATCTAAAGTTACTTAGTAAAGCCTCTTCCTTCCCCAAGTGATACAGTTTGTCCTGCATTAATAGTTTGCCCATAAACTATTGTAATGTATTGTAAATGTTACATACGGCTTAGTTTTGCAGAGATTTTAATGTTGGTTTATATCTCAATTGACATAAAAAGCCATTGTGAGGCAAGTAAGTCTCAGATTCTAAAGGCTCATGCCACTCCAGGACACTTTCTCAGAAATACTATTCATATTCAGAAACTTTGATTCTTTGAATCTTTGCAACTTTAATTCAGTACAGAATTTTCATATCATGATATCCAAGCCAGAAAGAGGCCCTGAAGTTCTACAGGGAGGATAGCTAGGAAACACATCCTTTTGCCTGTAATTTTAATTTGTTTGATCTGGAGATCACTGAGAGACTCAGACAATGAGCTCCTTAAGAATGTAGCTTATGTCTTCTAACATTATAGTTTTGTGCAAGTTTCTAAGGGAATTTGCTTTAGTAAGAACTGAATCATGCTCATCTTTTTTTTTTTTTATTTTTTTTTTCTTCCCGCCCTCTTGCCCTTGTATCAAAATCCAAAGGAAAAGGAGTTGGTTTACAGACAGTCTATGCATCTTGAGGGATTCTACCTTGTTTTCAAAGAATATTGGTGTCAATTCTTAATGTAAATAAGGTTGATAAATATTATACAAACATTCCTAAATTCAAGTGTTTCAAAATTTGAAACATTTGATTTCAAGATTTCGTTGCCTAATTGGCATGTATCCAAGTACACAACCTCTTTTTTAATATACAAAAATTACTATATATATATATA